AATGACTATGCTGAATAACTTGTAAATGTAAATGTAGAGCCTGAAGCGAATTTACCGAAAATACGTATTCACTTCAAACTCGGTCTTCTAATTATGACGACGGGAATATTAATATTATGCATATATGTAAGCGCCACTACAGTGGCGCGTTCTTTCAAATCTAATGTTACACACCTGGCACTTTGCACATAAATAAATAAATAAATAAATGATTTGAAACGCGATTCAATGACAGATGGCATTGTAAAAACTATGCAGATAGGTAAAATATTCATACAGGACACAGGAAATGCTTGTATTTTCACAAATAATCCTACAACCTATGACAAATATGATGACACCTAGGGATGACTTTTAGCCTCACCCTATAACCAGATTAACATTCTTATGTACATATTGCTTTACCAGGCTGCTTTTATACACCTCTAGTATATTTATAATAACTAGCATAGGCTTATTGTTCAATAATACTTGGGGAAGTAGCAGCATCGCCATGTCTAAATCAAAGAAGTGCAGTCTAGAGAAATCTGCTTTGCAAGTAGTTGAAGGTAATACAGTGATCGCTGCTACTATCAATGGTTCCGGTTCTTACGTTTTCACCTGTCCTGTATAAACAGCCTCATGTATGTCACGAATTCTTTTGCAAAATGTCTTAGAAATACACAAAGTTTTATATATTCTATGAGTAAGTTTCTTTTATGACAATGTGAGTGGATGTTTCAGCTAACCCTTCACTTGAATATAGAATCAGAAAATTGGTAATTCTGATAGATAGATCAAATACTTCAGAGAATGATACTTAATGACTTCAGAAACATTAAATGGATTTAGAGAAATGAATTGTCATGGGACGAATACGTTTTTTTGGCGGCATACTTATGCGTAAAAGAGAGGGCGTCAGATGTTCTAAAGAGCTACAAATATTTTTCATCTTGATGTTCGCATAACTGGGTGATGATACCTTTAAGGTCAAAGTATCTGAAAGCGAAGTTCACACGAGGCTTAACTACTTACTTTGGATTTTTCAGATGAACGAATTGCATGTATTTCAGTCATTACCATTTTTCGCTTTTACTTCACTTATCCTATAGATTAATGATAGAACTCTTTTTTCTACTACTGATGAGTTCATATGTTTAAATTGAAATAGCTTGTATTGTCAAGTAGCGGGTCAGTTCCGGTGAAGAAGTTAACAATGGGAACACAATTAGTTAATCATACTTAAAACATTTCCTTTAATTGAAATATTTACATATTGATATCTTTTGAACGCAGAAGTTAGAAATTGTTCATAATAATTGTATTAATTAGAGAAATTAACTGTGACACTAACTTTTGAATAAATTGTGCAGATCTCACCCACCTCGTCAGTGTTCAATACAACAAGGAAGAACATTTCATCAGTGATAGAAAATTTTTCATTTTCTAATAGCATTAATAGTCAATCAAATTTCAATTGTCAGTGTCTCATAACAAACACAATGACAATTCATGCAAACTGTATTATATATAAGAAGATAAATAATAAAGAAAATAAACAAGAAGGGGAAAGAAAAGGAGGAAAGCTTGAGTGTTCCATCGATAAATGAATCGAAACTTAGGGATAAATAAGTAAACAAACAAATAACTCATTAGCCTTCAATTTCAATTATTTTATTTTCTCCATTCTATACTCTTGATTGAGAACACTTCATTGTTGGGAAAACTGAAGTTTACTTTCAGAAGTGTCATATAGGTGTTTTGTTTTTTCCTCATTATTATGTTGTGTTAGGGAATTAGTATCACTGGCAAGCTTAGTACAAAGAAGGAGTCAATAGTGAATATTAAAATACACTGTATAGTTATACTTCGTTCACTACAAAGTCCCACGACTATTTCGATCAAATTTGTGCAAAAATTCTTTGAACATACTTTAATATAGTATGACAACCAGCCTTCACAATTACCGATTTGTGTGACAGAAATGAGGTTTTAAGTCACATTTTGAAAAGAACGCAATCTGAGTCTAATGTATGTCTCATTTTATAACTACAGATCAGTATTTCTTAATCATAAGATAAATAGCCCTGAGCTTGAAGTTTGAACATTAAACCCCCACCAACTTCTGGAAGTTAGGGATATTTATATTTACAAATCCCGTGACAGCACAAGAAGTAATCCTACCGAATTACACAGATATGCTGACTTATATTCATGATTATTTATGGTTATCGTTACCCAGTTTGTGAACCCTTTATATAGATATTCACTTCAGATGCTTCTACTGAAATAGATAATCAAAATATTCTTATCAACATGTGCTTTATATAAAGTTCTACCAACTTTATGAATTGTGGTCATGTTTTTTAACTTCCTATCAGTATCACTGACTGACGGCACAAAAAAGTCATAGATATACATCGACGTATTCACACATGGATCCATTCATTAGAGAGCTTAGTCAAGTCATAATTCAGTGATAAGCTCTAGATTCTAAGGTAAGAAAACTGACCAACTGGTTATATCTTCGCAACTATCGCAACTAGTAAGACACTAAAGAAGGCTGCTGCTACTTGACAACTGCTAATGATAAAGTATTGTAGTATACCAGGAATTAGTGGCTAAATAACTTAAGTGTTCTAATCGCAAAATCAGTCACAGTTGTCACCATAGATTCATACCTTCTCTTCCTATTAATAGTGTGTCCAATACTTTTTATCCTACTTCTAGCTCAATTAAACATTTCCGTGTCTGTATCTTGAATCAAGGAGATATATTATCTAAGTCTTCATACTGTGAAGCCATTCCATCTGTTTCAATTTCTTTCCTTCATAATAATAAAAGCCAATCAAATTTTAAAATTTCAAATAACAATATACAAAAACTACCTGGAAAATTCTGTAAGCTATTGTTGTCAATGCATGTCCATTGGATAACCGGTCAATTTCAAAGATGTCCACACCCCATTCATCCAGACTTTGAGAAATCTCTGGAACAGATAATCAAAGATATGTATTTATGTGAATCTAGTTTCTTTTTTAAGTGCTGTTATGCTCAGTAATTCCTTTTTCATCAGTTGTTTTCCTGTTAAGTATACTTTTGAAAAGTTTCAGTCCAGTATAAACGAAGGATGAATAAATAATGTAAATCTGTTATACTTAGTTGCTGTTATATTGCTGTGACAAGATTGTTCCTATTGTCAGTAACCACCAATCTATCATCTTGACGTAGAGTTGCTTAGTCTCTCGAATCACTTCATTTCAATTTTTAATCAGTCATCCAGTACTGTAAGTGAACGGCTTGACTTGTGCAAAACCGTGTACAAAGTAGTGTGTTATTGCTGAGGAATGGGAGCACTTCTGCGGTCAGAGAGCTCCCATTCAAGAGATTTTCTTCTCACATGAATATTTACGGCTGAACATGTTGCTGCAAAGTGTCGAATTCAGACCACCCATCAACTGTCCTACTGGGTAGAAGATTGAATAACAAAGCGGCAGAAAAGTGGTGCAACTAATGATATGAGATATACCCAACAGATCAGCCATATACAATAACGTTGTTATAATTAAACAACAAATACTGAAACCAATAATCGGAACAGATATGACGAGGAAATTGATGGGAACCAGCAGTGTAACAACTAAAACCAAAGGCAAGAAGAGGGGGGGGAGAAGTTGAGTGGTAAACGACTCCAGCTATCACAACCAACTGAGAAGGATTTAAAGGGTGGGTTGGTAGTGAATCTTTCAAAATGCCCACTATCTACGATTAAGTCCTGACGGGACTGAAGTACTACACTGGAAATGCAAACGAACTTGATTGCTAAGCTTCTTTGAAGTCTACACTGAAAACCTCAGGAATAAATGTTGAGCAACAACAGGAACTACGTCAATCAGTTGGAACTCCTGTAAAAATAGAAGGAAGTCAACACCTACTAAACACAAAAAAAATAAATGCATTGAAATCACTAATAACTGACAAGACAATTTTAGTATTACCTTTGAGTAAACGAAAGGAAATTGTTGTCAGGAACAGAAGTGACTGTGTCAGAAGGACACGAGAGTCACTGGACGATGAAAGTGTGTACTAACCACTAGACCAGAATCCAATTAAGCAGTTGGAAAGTCAAATCCAAAGGAAACCTAGGGGATTAGTAAAAGCTGGCTGAATAGCAAAGAAGAACATAGGCGGATGAAGACAAATGGACCAGTCCTACAGAGGTTCTACGGTCGACCTAAGGTACGTAAAATAGACATTCCACTACGATCAGTCGTTTCATTCAACCTATGGAACGAATTATACAGAAAACTAAAGCATTTCATCAATGGAAGTAAATACTCATGTAGCTCAGAAACTGAATTTGTAGACAAAATACAAGATTTACAGAAAAGCATAGATGAAAGGATGATACCCTTTGATGTGGCTTCACTCTTTACTTCAGTCAACTCAAATCTAGCCGAGGAGGCGATGAATATTTTTCTGAAGAACGATCAAACCCTTTCTGACCATATGAAGCTCACGGTTCCGAACCTGATAGAGTTGACCGATCTATGTCTCACGACTTACTTTGTGCAAAACTACTTTGTCAGTCAGCATCTTTCATTAAACACAGCAGGATCTGAGCTGGTTCTACATTATTCACTTATTTCTATGTAGTTTTTCAGCTTAAGAGATTTTACATTTGTGACGATCATCTTCATTCTAATGTAAGCTGCCTAACCTTTGAAATTATACGCATTTCTAGTAGGACAAATCAACGACCACTTTGGCTTCTTTAATTACACTAGGAATTTTCAGCAACACAACATGGTATTTTAGTTCATACTTTAGTTTAATTGTGGATAATCTTTTTGCTTCGAAGCTAAGAGAACTTATAATCACGTGCGGACTGTATAAGAAATGCAGAACAAGAGCGTGATGAGATAAAAATTTAGCGCCCTGGCATTTCTAATGTGTTGATTCATTCAAGTGACAAAGGTTTAGATTTCGCTATGAAAGTACTGTTAAATGTAACAACTTACTTCTTCTAGTTCTTTATCATAAGGAGTTTCGACTCCGTGAATTGGAAGTGTAGAAACGCTCTCACCCTCAGATGTTTCGTCATAGTTTTTCCCTCTTGAGCCTGCTGCTAACTGTTTTGTTGAAGAGGCATTTACATCAACCGGTGGCTAACTTTACGGGATTCTCCTGACATACCTCCAGAAGACTCAAGTTTAGCTTTTGAAGAGAAATCAGCAGTTTTTGCATTAGATAAATTTAGATTTCCATCCCCACTGATTATTGATGAATGTCTTTTACTAATGTTGGCCGAATCCTGTGCACTATTTGAACAGTGTGACTGACCACTACTACGTCTTCTTTCCAGCATTGATTCAATTTCTTCATTTGCCTCTGCATCCTTTTCAGTTTCTTAAAAAACAGGAACACAGATCACAGTGAATCACGTCAATATATCATACTTTTGACCACAATGTATTGAATCTTTGATTGCTTCATTATATTAACTGGTATGTAGATCAACAAAATATTGAAATTCAGCTTAAATAGAGAAGATTTAGTGTTTAAATTATCATAGAAGCTAACAGGAATTTTCTAGTCCTGCCTATTGTTTGCCTTTCATCTAATCATTATGATATATCCATATGCAAGCTTGTAGGTTATGTGCTAATATAACTTAAAACAATTATTGAATTCACTTTTGACTCGTACTCATAGTTTCATTAGGACTACTTGAAGAATACTGATAAAAGGCTTCTGTTAAGCAGTGTCAGTTTAGAGTTTACTCATTTTAAAAGATTTATGTTCCGAAGTACAGATTTTCACCACTGTGTTGTCAAATAAAGAATGGTTGTTTTTAAACCCAATTTTTAAACATCACAAAACTTTATTGACTAATGTAGTATGTTACTGGGTGATGACTGAAGGTGGAATGTCCACCACCATTTGGTCGCTGGTTTGAACCCGACCACGGCCCAAAGTTTCATTTGACCTTGGACCTCGTAGCTCAGTTGGTAGAGCATCGGGCCGGAAACCTGATGGTTGCCGGTTAGAATCCTTCCGCGACCCAAGTTTTCATTTCACCTTCAATCACAACTCAATGTCAATACTAGTCTGCTGAACCACGGCTATCTCAGATAGTCAAAGTGATAATATAGTATACATTTGGTTCACTATCTTGGTTATAGTTACGTGCTTGAATTAAAAGTATATTAGACGTTGATCTCTTGAGTCTCTTTGAAAAGAATAGTCAAAACTAAAAAAGTAAGCAAAAGTCTAACATTCGGTTGTAAATGAAGACTGATTTTTATTGAAGATGATAACTCTTGATATTGGTAAATGCCCACTTTGATAATCCACATTATTAATATGGACTGGTTTTTTATTGGGTGATAATCATTCAAATACACTTTATTACAGTACACAGGAAAGCACCAAATTCATGAAGCAGATATGATGATTCGTAGATTTCAGGCTTATAATCAGAACTTTAAACTGTCACTATTAAAATGTTATACTATGTTTAATGTAAACTAAGCAGAGTTTCTAGTATTTCATATGTGAAGATTCAAGCTGGTAAGATAAGAGATTGATTAAAAAATGATGTCTTTAGTGTAACTATATTACCTGCTTTTGGATCTCCGCCCATGGGATCAGGGTGCTTTACTGAAGTATTTTGTTGACCACCTCAGGAATACTAAATTTTCATGGTACACAAGATATACTCAATAAAAAACAGTTTATAACAATAATTCTATGTCCAATAGGCTCTCTAGTGACTTTATCACAAATTTAAAGGTACATCCTTTTAGGTAATTGTTTTCAGAGGTCAAAAAGTGGACGTGGTTTTGCTCTATGGTTCGATAAAAATAACGTTCGAATAATTTTACTAAGCAACAATTACGTGGAAATGGTTATTTGGTCAATTTACTGAAGTAGAAACTATAAACTTCGTTTATTCTCACCCCCTCCATTTGTGATTTCGACTAATACATCTTTAACTACCTGCTGTCAAAGATGATCTCAAGAAGCCTGTAGTGTTCTTAGAGATTACTTCAACTGAACAACAAGTTTCAAATGCGAACGGACATTTTATGTACAGCATTACCATATAATGAATGTATCACTGTTTCCTAAAGTAAGAATTCGAATAAGAAGGTAGAAGCATATACCATTAGCTACTGTTCATCTTAAAGTACATCTGGAATTACGAAGATTTTTTTTTGAAATGTAGATATTTTTTATCATCAAATCGGTAACAGATAACTTACCTAGAAACGTCTCACAGATGTACGCAGATATCTGGTGTCTGGATTTATCAGCTTCTCCAAAACTGTTCAATTCTTTGTTTAGTAAACGCTTGAACTAGATAAACAGACAAGGAAGAAAGTGGAAGTACCAAAGATAGGGCATTTTGTAACTACAGATCAAATTAAGAGCTAATCAGAGTTATAAAATATTTACTCATATACGGTGATTCTTTCAATAGACAGAATTTAGGAACAAAAGAAATTAACCTTTCTGATAGGATGCTAGAGATATCCATTCTAAAGCTTTATCATTTTATCTACTCACAGTCGATCTGGTTGAGTGGAAACCATTTAAACTTTACGAATGAAGATAAGAAAATCTTATAATCAACAAACGTGTTGTTGGGATTATAGACACTTGGTTTATTAGTGTTTAAAGGTATGTAATCAAGATGCAAAACTTTTTGGCAGATATTTTTCGCAATTACCAAGCTAAGCACACTAGAAAATCAGACAGTCAATAGATTAATATAGCTTACCTTTGAAAAAGCCATATCCGAGACAGGTCTTTTTGTCTGAATATTTTCAAGTTGTTTCAGACACCATTCCAGTTCTTCGAGAGTTTCATTGGCCATCATCTTGTATTCAGCACCTCAAATGATTAAAAATAGGAAACACAGGAAGATTAACGATAATTCAAAAATATTTTCACAAAAAATTAGTGTACAGAGAAACTATTGGGATTTTGAAAGATCTTTAATTCGTGTGCAATGAGAACCAGTCACGCCTCAAGTAGGCCTCATAAGGCTTTGAACATTCTCAGCGAAAATATAGCGAGCAAATAAAAATCAACTGACTGTTATTTTTCTACAAAAAATCTATGATGGTAGAGCAAGCACTGAATATAATAGGGCTGTTGTCAAAATCAGACAGATACACAGAGAGATAGACCGACGTGGAAGCTTGTATACAAGTTTGAAGTTTACTGGTTCATATTATAGTGATCAAAAGAGTTTTCTGATTCCAAATACTTTGAAATGACCAACAGCTAAGACCGGTTTCAAAAGACCTTCTTTGATTCTCATGTCCTAGATAGTTAATCTGATTGGGACTTCCTGACATTACCTCTGAGGAATTGTGGAAGGAAACCATTCGGTATCACAGATTTGTGAGATTTAAAATTTTAAACTGTCTTTTTAACTTCGTAAGAGCAGGAAGACTGATGTTTAGTTTTATCCAAACTGAGTTCAGTTGATTAATCACTGACGTATCGCTTTACACTATTTGCACCATTTATTAAGTTGTTTTGCCCATCATTTTATTCGGACATTCTGAGAAATCACCAAAGCCTTCTCTTTCTAGAGGATATTCACAAAATCTGTTGACTTCTTCCACATATTGCATTAAGTAAAATAATAGCTGCTGACTGAAACCCACTGCCAAGGCTTCCTATATACTCTTTTACTTTAGACGCTTACCTTAAAGTTAAGTGGAAGTTTTGGATTCATCATCACGAGCTTTATTGTCAGCATTAATTAGTATGTGGAATGTGGACAACTACTGGGGCTATGGCCAAGAAAAATGTGTTATATAACCTTACAAGAGTCTGTTTTGGAAGTTCATCCACGACATTCTACTATATCAACTGACTAACTTTGAGGCCTTTTAGTTAAACGGAATACCGAAATCTTTTTGCGCGCTGCAGGAATTACACGTCATCAAACTCAGTGCAAAGGAGAAGGGAATAGACTGTTTAATGTTGCTACAACTGACTTTCATCACTAATTTTTCTCAGACTGCTTTGTATCTGTCAGTGATTCATGAATATATACTCAAGATAAAGTTCAAAATGTGTTTATATCTTTTTTTAGGCGGTGCATAGCTCTTTTGTACATCACAAGGTCAAGCACTATAAACTTAGAAGTCTACCACCAAATTTGAGATTGTAGCGTGGTGAAAATGACGATGGCGAACATTTACTGAAAGATAAGAAAATTGTCCGCATCATCTGACGTCGAACACAGACTATACATAGTAGTGACTAGAATGAGAACGGCTCTAATAGCTATCTACTAAATAATGTTTGGTCAAACCGGTTAGCACAAACGTCTTTGAAAATAGTTTGAGAACCTCCCTAACGGTTGCTTATAACTCAAGAGACAATCGTACATCAAGCTTCAGGAACCGAATTCCAAGACATGGTTGCTCATTACAAGAAAATCTCTTTGCAGTTGTCGGATGTTACACTTTTACAGTGGTTATTCGAGAATACTGCCTTGTTTTAGTGTAGAGTTTCAGGTCATTTGGTTACCTAAACAGCCAACTGAAAGTATGGGTACATTCAGCAAGACCTACGGCAATTACTTGATCAGCGGGAAGTAAACGTGGAGAAAACTACCTGAGTAACAATGTCAACTCATTTTCACCAGTAACTTCGTATAAAATGGGGAGAATAAAACAGTCGATAACTAAATTGAGTTAGCCTTCAGATTTAAGGTTCTCATATTATTCTACTTATTTCTTGTCAGCTGTAAGTACCAGTAGATCAGTAGAAAGTCCATCCCCTTCCTAAATATATAAAGGTAGAAAGTAGCTGAACCGTGCATCATTTCAAGTCCCCACACTCCACAGCAGCAAGAAAAGAAGCTGATTAATAATTGGTATTAATACAAAAAAAAGTAAATGAATATATAGAGAGAGCACGAATAGATGAACTTTAATAAAACTGTTCAAGACTTCAAAAAAGACAAAGTATGTGTGTATCTTCACCATCGTGACCAGTTACTAGCCATTTCATATAGGACCTTCAACTATTGGTTCCTAACATCTTGAGCACCACAACCACGCAGTCTACATCTCCGTATACGGCTCAGACCAATATTCACAGACTTCATGGAGTACTACAGAGTCTTAGTGTGGTTACATCCAACTTCCATCGCATATCGAGGTAGGTGATGGCTCTGTGTGTACAAGACGTCTCCAGGCCACTTCACTTAACAAGGGTTTGGAATCTCACCAACCGAATTAATTTCTTCGCCTAGTACTCTGCGCTCAGTTTCGACACCGCTCGCGTACTGACTCCACCGAAGCAGGACCAATACCATGAAGTTCAATGTGGCCTAAAACCTCTAGCCTCTTTGTTTCCTCTACTCTTACCGATCATAGTTTACCGCAGAATTCAACGCAGTATATTTGTCATTTTATTGGTAGTCTGATGTTTCACTAGGACCATAAGTAAAGTCAGTTGGCTAACACCAAACTTACCTGTTGAATCTGAGATAAGATTTTATCAGCAACCAGCCGACTTAGGCTAGTAAAGGTCTAAATCAAGTTAAGTGGTCATTGCATTCCGCCATTTCACTCCTATTCTTTCAGCGAAGAGTTGGCACAGAGCCATTACCAGGTATAATCTTACACATGATTGATAAAACGAGCATATCAAAATAGTAGATTTCTTCTCAAGGTGTTCATATGACTCTGCCTTTATTCAACGTCTTGTATGGTTGAAGTCATCTGATTAACCAGCATCTAGTTAGTCACTTCACGTAGGTTTATTGCCATCAGAGCATCTTTGGCAAAGTTAAACAGGAATGATGATAGTGGACATTCTGAAATGACACAACTGGCCGTCGTTAGTCCGAACTACCACTCTCGGTAAGCCCTAACACGTATGCGTTGGTTCGAGTAGAGAGATTTCATTAGCATAACGAAGGTACTAGATACCGAATTCACAGTCAGACACTTCCCAAACGCCTTCCAATTGAAAATGTCTAATACCACCTCAAATATAACAGATACTGGACGTTGGTGAGTAAGCCTGAGCCACAAAACTTATCGAAGGGTAGGCTTCTGATGAGTGTACTGTTGTCTGAGTTTTAAATCTACCTGGTCATCTCACATTTTTGGTTGGCGATCTTCACTTAGGTTTTGGATGGTTATAAACTTTACGATTTTAGACGAAATGTTGGTCAGGCTGATTCATCTGTGGTCGTCATAGGAAAACTTCTCTCCTTGCCTAAAAATTGGAATGATCATCGATCTAGACCAGACTGTTTCTGACTGCCATATACTCGCTACCTGTTGCTTACGTTACTGTACTGAGCAATTTTTTTTACCTTCATCCAAAATTAGGAAAAACAAATCATTTCAAAGGAGTTCAGCTTATGACAGTTATCGTTTTCACGATCTGAGATAGCCGTGGTTTGGCATACCTGTATTGATATTGGGTGATGAATGGAGGTGAACTGGAATGTGAGTCACGAAAGGATTCGAACCGGCGACCAGTGGGTTTCCGGTTTGGTGTTCTATCAAATGAACTACAAGACCTAACTGCTGATCATTTCAACCCCCAGGCAAGTGTAGACATTTTCTTCTTTATGTAACAACGTTTGCAGTAGTCTTGCATTAACTTCTTGATGATTTATACAATTTATAAATTCATACAATCATTTAGATGGTTAGCCTAGATTGACGTCATAAACATTAGGCAGTCTTTCAAGTTTCAGTATCAAGTCGAGAAAGACAGTGCATTTACATAATCCTATCAAATCCAGAGAGGTTGAATAAATGAAGCTGAATGTATCTCTACGACTAAGAATAGTGCACGAATAATGTGGGGGTACAGAAAAAGATGGGAAACGGATGAAAATATAGATTTTTTTTCCGTAGAAAAAAATTACATCATAGGTCTCGTGAATATAATAGAGGGAATTTATTTTAACATTGAAGTCGAGACTGGATTTCGTGACTAGCTGATATATAAACCTTTGATTCAGAAAAGACAAATTTTCATCTTTTTTGACGTTAGTGCAAATTTCCTGCGTGATATTCATGAAATCTATGGTGTAATTTTTTTCATCCGTGGAAATTTTTTGTTTTTATCCGCTTTCCACCTTTCTCATGTACCATCACAATATTTACGCATATACCCTACTCACAGATACTTTTTCGACTTAATCTGTTCGACCTTTCTAGATTTGGTCGGGTAATGCGAATACGTTTCCTTTCACAATCAATACTTTTTTCATGAACTCGATCAGGGTATGTAAACAGAGTTTTCCCTGATTTCAGTACTGAACTGTTTCAAGCTATGAACAACTAAGCAAAATATTCGAGTTAAAATGATGGTACATATCCTCAATTACTGTCGTCTTATTTTTCACATTTATGAAGGGAATTGAATGCATAAAAATTTCTTGAAATATGATAACGATGACTCAGTGATGTACAAAGAACAAGGTGTGGCACATTGTCTGCAACTATATTAAACCATCACACTGAAGCGTGAATTTCATAATCCTAGATAAATGCGGTATTTGTTTTAGAGAAAAATGTAATATTCACCGACATATACACGCATGTTTTTATTATTTAAATTTCGTGATCACTTGGTAGTCACGATAGACGGGAGTGAGTCTGCCAGTCAAAATGCCGTGCTGATGGCGCATATTTGAGCCGTGACCGAAGTACACTAAATACAAATAGTTGAATATCTAGCTGTTAATATAAGTGTAAAACTTGGACACTGTAGTAGAATGTAATCTCACCTCAGAGATTTGTTGATTTGATTTATAACACAGTAATACAGCATTATTTACTTGATGATGACGTTTCGATCACCAATTGTTGTTCATAATCATATCAATGTAATCA